ACTTTCCATGTAATTTATTGCGAACAGCAGCAGGTAGGTCCCAGCAACGGGGGAAGCACCTGTTAGAGGCAGTGAACCGAAGCAGGTGAATAATTACTGAAAAGAACTACACCTTCTAATCTAACAGATCGTCTATTGTAGAATGTAGCTTCACATGGTTCCCAGCTTTGCCGTGAGAAACGCAAGACAAAAAAATTTAACCGTTTTGTGCTTAATGTAGATTAACATCAATGCATTCATCCGCAACTTGAACGAAAGTCGGCTGTCTGTCTCAATGTCCCAGCCCAATTAAACCTCCGGATGGATTCTGGAGGATGGGGGTTGGAACCGTAAGCGAAGCGCAGATACTGCACCGAAAAGACGTATGTCACTGTGAAAGCCCACTCGAACGGAAAAATGGCAACCTGATCAATCTCACTTGGTGCGTTCTTCCCTTGCTCAGTGGCGCAAACCTACTTACCTGAAAGCCTGTCAATCACGATTGAATAGGCTGTCATTTTACCTGAGTAGGTCTCGTGTACACCGCACTTGCACACAGACCGGTGGATTGCAATAAGAAGTTGGTATATGCCCACTTAAACACCACAAACGCACTTGGCTAGACAAAACAACGGGTCTAAGAGGGAGAATGATATAAAAGACGGGAGCTGGACGTTGACCAGATTGTGAACAGGATAAGTGGGACAGGTACGGGAAACCTCGGATAAACACCATGGTGGCGGTACACAGAGGACGCGACAGAAAGAGGAAACGAATCGAAGGTTGAGCATTCAAAGACGTGTGAAATGCTCAAGGCAAAATACACTAAATGTGAACCTATGACACACATTGATACTTAATCTGCTGACACCAATATGATTTGATATATTACCATAGAAAATGTGCTGTGCACCACTCCTAGAATTCACAATTCTGTCACAGAACGCACACCATCAAACCAGTAAGAATACTACCAAAACGGGACGGGTGATAACAACCATGTGAATGCGAACTTATATACAGTCATCTACCTCATAGGTTCCCCAAAAAAGTATCATCCCCTCATAAAGGTTAATTCAAGATTTCCTGATTTATCCTGTCGAAGTAAACACCGAACACCTGTGTAGAGATTACTTCCGGAGACTGTTCAGCCAATAAATAAATCCTGTTCTAGCCCTCTCTGATTGATGACGGAACGTTTGTAGTATAACTTAGAAGCTTGGCAAACAGAATCACAACCAAGAATAGCGCTCGACTGGCCGAATGGTGGGTTGAACTGTCACTAGTTCGGTTGGGCTGATAGAGTTCTGATTGAACTGGCTACCAGATGTAGGTTTATGTTTTAACTTGCTGATGAAAGTTGGGTATCCCTTGAAAATCATCCGCCTAAAACCAAGTTCGATGGTATTCAAAGTACGAATCAGGATTGGTGGGAATCCGAGGACCAAGTCTGCATGGTGATCCTACAGAATGTGAAATCGGTCGTGGGTTGCCGCATAGTTTTCAAGGGGTGTTGTACCAAAGCATTTATATTCCTTTTTTCACGAACCACTTATGCACTTATGCACGTTCGCATACAGCACAATCTCTGTCTTGTCTAGATAGTCGTGAAATCCCAAGTATGATGACAAACCAATCCTTAACGAGGATCCAGGTTTGACTGGCCATGAACATGTTACGGCTGAACGTTAAAGTTACACAATTCTGTTGATCTAGTTTACAGTGCCCCCTAAGTCAGGAGACAGTGCATGCGAAGGATTCGCTACGGTACTGTCTTAGCGGCTGCCCTGTTGTGTTATAAACTGAGTTTCGTTATCATTACGTTTATTCGCTGAATAATGGGAACTGTCTAACCATGGATGCACTACTCATACCAGCGTTGACGCGCACTTGACACCCGAGTAAAATGAAAAGGCAGAGAATCGCGAGTGAAAAAATTTACCACTTTCAACGGAAATTCTCGAAACAGATTAAGTAAGGTAACCCTGGGAAAACCACGAAGCATACATCAGTCGGGTGTGTGACCACACACATCCACACAGCTGCCACACACTGTTGTCTTCACTACTAGAGGATCCAATAGTCCATGGGAAAATTGACAAAAGTGACCTGAGCTGTGGTGGTGTTTCGTAAATAACGGACGACGGGACCAAACCATGGGGTTCCGCACGTTGTCGTATCTATCGATCACAAAGGACAACCCATAAATAACTAGGTCACCATCCGACCAGAAAGGTGAAAACAAACAATGAGAGGTGGAAACGACACAAGGCGATAGGATAGTGAAAAAACAAAGGCTGAGAAAAACCACAACACAGAGGTGGACATACAGGTCACACACCTACGAATCGTTACGTACTGAAAATATTGATTCAATTGGTGATGAAATATCAAGAACAACAATGTTACATCCAGCGATCATAAAAAGTCGGAGTTCACGAGCATCAGCCTTTATGTGCATTCCTTTCTCCCAGGTAATTATAATGAAACCAAGCGATCTTCACAAAGAGTATACCTTATCGAGGGTCAATGGTCATTTCTGACTGAGTGTAAGGCGGAATACGGTGACCCTTATATATCCGTGAAAAATCAGCCATCGGTGTCTTTGAGTTCTAGACCCTTTCCATACAAATGTATGCCAGTTGACGGCGGTTTTCACTGGGTTGTTCAAATCAACGTATAGTCTAACTAAGATTCAAAAGTCCATATAGAATGTAATAAAGTTGTAATGATTAAATTCATCAGGCACAAAAGTGTAGTGTTGGTGGGAGCAGTGGGTCAAGATTCAGGAGAATGGAGACAGAGAGCAATGAGTTATCAAATTAAAAGACCACTTTCCATGACGTTGATCGGCAAAAACAGAAGAGAAACATTAAGGTAGTTAAATTTGAACGTTTATGTTCGGACTGGAACCACCAAATCACGATTTCACAGACCTTCAACTCTATACCCTTGAGTTGCTTAATGATTGGCAAAAAATCTGGAGTCACTTAGACGGTTTACTGCCAAGTATAGCTTTGGTAGCACATTCGAGTTCGATCAGATAGCTGGGCACAACCGAAGAGCAGATGTTCTCACTTAATGTCACGCCATTTTTTTTATCGGTATACCACTTCTTGAAATGATAGACCTGTGTAACTAACGGACAACCTGAAGAAGTTTTCAACCATACATAGGCATAACATAGTTATTCCAACCACAGTAAAATCTATGGAGGAAGATTGTGTTACGATAGAATCCTTACTTTGCCCACTGCTGGTTGATACATACACGGGGGTAGGCCAGAACGTCTGAGATGTACTAGGAGTCAACAAGTCAGTCAAAAGCGCCTCAGGAAGACTAACAAGTCCATGGGCCGAAAAATCCAGCTATCGATTGTACGTTCCAGCAGCCAATCAGTGACGACCGTCGATGCTCGAGTGCTCAGGCATGACGTAGAATCGGTGCCAATCAATCTTTCCAAATCGACGAAACAGTCTTCATTCAAGGTCAAAAGTACGCTTTAAATACCACGGCACCCCCTGTAATCTTGCACCCGTTTGTTTACACTAAAGCTGTTGCGCTTTTGTCGGATAAACCTCACCATCACAAAGGTTCTGGAGCAAGGGTTTGCAGTCAGTTACAACCGTTTGCTTGAAAATCAGTATGCGAATACTATCTTGGGAAAATTAAACATATCTAAATAACACGCAAACGGCAAAGTCGACCTCACGACAGCTAGATTTAATTAAATCAAATTCTCACAGAATTTGATCAAGCCTTCTTGAACGTCTAATGCTAGAGCGAGAACTGCATTACATTTCTGGAGAGTGAAATAGTCAGAAGGGATGGAGCACTATAAAGCACAGTGCACAGGAAATAGACCTGAAATGCATCGCATTTTGAGGGGATTGTCTCCTCAAACCAAAAGGGGAAGAACAACGAAAATTTGCTCGGATGACATCCTGAATGGTAAATTAACACGATCGGTAGACCTATACATCTAAAACGGATGCCCGATCGGTAAAACCCAGAAGGAAATGAGGATCAATTGAGAAGGAACCAGTTTTCATCTGTTTGCGTTTCAAAGGAGACTCCCTAGCTGTAGCGACATCGTGGAGACTCAAAATAATCACCGAAATAGCTTAGACGGCAGCAGATTTACGGGCATTCTTCCGACCATGGAAATTCATTCTTAGCGTGCAATTAAGGTGCGGTTTGCCACGGTCTAGAACTAAACTTAATGCCCTCTTTCGAGTGCTCATGGAGGACGCAATACAGTAGCCGTACAAGGCGATTGTCCGAGTTCGTGAACACTACCCAGTTAGGTAAACACAAGCAAGTAGAAATCGCAATCGTAGTTTAATTTAACTGTTATGCAGTTGACTGAATGATCCCAATTACAATCCCATTCCTATCGAACCACTTCCGATAGTACTTTGAGTACCGGCAAACCAGTTACTTGCTTTCTCTTGTTGAAACTGTGCAAAGCTAACCTCTGTCTCAAAAAATAATCAGAGTGAACAATCAAGCTCGACAGGACAGGAACAGTGGCACACTGAAACGGATATCTTGTGGTACAATGGTCGGCACTGACCACTGTTTGTTAACTCTTTCGTGGTGATCATTACGTAAGGCACTTCCAAGCAGTGAACTTTGTTTTTAGATGTTCAATTGATCTCCTAGTTATGCCTCCATATATACTGTGTTCCCGATTGCCGAAGGACCACACAAAGAAACAAATTATTCGTTACTCTGATTCGAATATGACAGTTGAACTATCAAGTCAAACCGCTACGGACAGTATAACAAAATGCACTGCGCATGTGATTTGATGCTCAGGCCGTTTCTGGTTGCCATTATTACTCTGGGTACGGATCAGACTATCTACGTTTGTCGAAAACGGTCCTTGTTGAGGGGGGCCATTAGAATCAGTACATAGCCTACAAAGCATTCGAATAGTGATGCACGTAACCAAAGAAGTTCGGTGTCCCAAACACTACTCAAGCACATCGGCAGCTGATTTGAGTAAGCAGTAGTGACTGATACTCAATAGGTTTTGATCTAAAAGGCTGTAAAGGTAACACCGTAAAAAAGGGCAAAATGTCAAAAACAATATATAGCCCAGTTAGAAACCGACCTGACGAGCGGGTTTGCGTGCCGCGCTGGGAGGGCGACGAATTCGATTGATGGATTCAATGAAGTGGACAAAATTCTCACAAAATTTGGCGTGGTTCATAAGCCGATAGTCTTCGTACACATCACAAGCCACCGGGGGACCGTTTGTGTTCATTCGTCTGGATAAGGCAAATTAAGTTGAGTGAAGATGGAAAAGCTGAATACCCGCACTGGTATTCAGTTACACACAGAAGATATATTGGAAACAAACAGACGTTGTTAGGTTCATCTGATTTTTATCACAACAATGATTACTATCACCGAATTCACTTCAAACATGGTAAGGCAGGAGTCGGTAAGACGAAAAGAGTTACGGCTACTTCGATATTCTTTGCATTACGAGTATCACATTGTAATGTAAGCGCTTGAATGTTGTATCCAACCTTGCTCAGAAAGAGCAGAAACAACCAACAATGTGTAAAGTGAGCGCGTAGCACGGTAGTTTCTATATACTGTCGTAATCGACGAGATAATGACACGAACTCTGGAAGGTCTTCAAAACCCCAGGTTTCCTAAAGCTGCCGATGAAAAAGTCGTCGGTCTAGGATACGCAGACCGAATTGTTCTCATTGTTGAAGACGAGAAGATTCAGACGTCTTTGGATGAACTGACCACAGAAATCCTGTCTTTCGACATGCCCACTGGACCCACAAGTCGCAAGGTCATGCTTCTGAACACACCACTTACAATCTAAGGAGACACTTGCATCTTAGAAGTGGTACAGACTATGACTGTAGTGTGACAGATGAAGTTAATGCTCGAAATTCTAACCTTCGGGTCGTGTCTGGGAAAAGCAAGTGGAAAAGCAACATTTCCCTGAATCTTAAAGGACATGTCTATCAGACTACAGCACGAGCTGTTTTGTTGCACGTAAAGCGTTGTGAAACGTTGTCTGTGTAAGTAGCGGACAACCATTGTCTCAGAACCACGGCTCGTGTCTGCGGATGCCAGCGAGCGTTCGGTTCTGCAGAAGACTTCGGAGAATATTTTCAGCCCCAAAAGCTGAGGTGGTCTGGTCATGTATTGCGCATGCCGAATCATCGCTTGCCGAAGAGTGCTATTCCACGTACCCAGTTCAAAGTGGCGCAAACACTGGTGGGCAACCTTTGACCTGACAGAGGGAAACGAAATCGCTGACGAAAAGTGTGGGTACTGTTGGAGCGATTCGCCTTCCAGGACTAGGGCTGTGAGTGATTGAAGAAGCTCCAAGATATGGATCCTAATCGACGTCGTTGTTAGTTTCTATCCAGATTACCTGAACGTGCCCGAAGTTTCAGATACCTCGGAGTGATTGTGGTAGGCGAGCGCTAGGTGATTTCCTCATCCACTTTTCCCTTCTTTAAAGTGAGGCATTCAACTAACTTATAGTTGTACAGCAGCAGAGCACCAGTGTTGATTTGCCTTCATGACGGTGATGAAGAGTTCCCGTCGTTTTTGTTTAATATCCTCTAGACGCGGCTCTTCTCATTAAAACGACACTTACTACTGATGTGGTTCAACATGCGACTTGGTCTGACCATCGTAGAATAGAATCTAGGGAGGAATAACCCAGAGAGTACTTGCACAGAAGTGAATGACAATCATCCATTCAATGGGAATTCGGTGATTGCTTTATACTCATCAGACCCGTGGTGTGTGGGTTTGAATACAAAATGAAAGCAATCCTGGTTCATTGTTTTGTTTCCACGTGTAACAAAGTTGAGAAACCGAATTCACATGGATACATCGTGCACGGTCGCCCACTTGTCTGTCTGCCATGCGATACTCGCTAGTCTCTCGCTCTCCTGAATACATCAGTTATGCTGAACGAGTCTCTGGGTTTCGTAGAGTTTTAGGACTGAATCATTTTGAAACCTCCGCTAACACACAATGGATCCGGAAACACAAATTTACAAATGTACGATTTTAACTCGAAATTTTGCCGAGTATAGTTGCTCTGAAAAAAATGTGCTGTTTATATCTCTCTCTCAGTGATCGCATGTATAGAGTCACAACATATTAGATTATACTGTGGTCACGAACATCTAGCCTTTGTTCACCATGCCAAAACTCATAATTGCAGGTCTACCGGATGTGACTAGAATTCCAGATGCATACGGTTCGGAAGACTAACTACATTTAATTAATCAACCAACCACAGACTGGTCCCCTTCGTCCTCATGTTAAAAAACATTGTAGGTGAGACAATTTACCGTATTATATTAATTGAAAAAACTCACTCCTTTACGGCATCTTGCAATCGTCTTGTCTCGTTCGAATAGATTGGTAACATCATAAAACGACTTCGCCAATATTTGAGCGACTACAATCAATAATAGTTGATGAGAACTCAGTTAGCTGTTTACGTGGAATGTAAGTTTCACTGACGGAAATGACGACCAGTAGGCCACAAAGAATAACTGAAATATATCTATAAAAAACAGAGCACGCTAATCCGATATCCAGTGACTCCTACAAACCGAGAAAATCCGAATCGTTATGCCGTTTCCCATGAAAAAATCTCAGTTGAGATTTCGGCATACCCCAAAAAGAATTTAAGGATGCCGTGATGTGGAATGCGAAAGAATGCTGCATCACGAGTGAATAGTTTAACAAAAGGCTTTTCGAGTGGGTAGTATCAGGTGACGAGCCACACAGATCCAAGTGATTGCCGCTATACTTAAGTAGGTTACCACGAGCTCATGATAGGAAAACTTTGTTTCGGTTGCATCCCAGCTTGCTGCACAAATGTTGTCAGAAGCGCAGAAGCTGCACCTATCACATAATATAAAAGGGTCTGATGTGTAAATGATACCGTCATTTAGTAAGTTCGGAGACATGACAGACAAGCTTGGTCCTATTAGTAAAATCGAACGACTCGGTTCAAGTACAACTTACCGGTTGCTTCTGCACTTACTACGAACTTAAGCTTGAACCTTAAATGGTGATCTGATACCAAGAATAGAATGGGCTAGAATGGGCAAGCTCGTCAGGTGGTTGAAAAACCACTGACCTATCAGGTGACGGACCAACTTCAGGGCGTCCCTGACATGTAACATTTCTTGAACATCTACTCATCAATAGTCACCTGATCTGAAGCTAAATATGAATACCGCACTGAGCTTGATTCGTTGTTGACGTAACAGAAAGCAAAAGCGAGTAGGCAGCGTATGTGAGAGGAAATCCGACCGACTTACCGGCAACAGTACGTATGAGTCACTAACTCCACGAGTGCACAGATAATTATCCAGATAGCTCCAGTTCAGTCCATTGACTGTGTCATTCGTGAACACAGTTCGGAGAGGTAAATAGGTTAGAGAATCAGGTACGCGCAATGCATAAGTATACTCCATACGCAACGGATCTTCTTGCCTGTCGTATACAAAAAATACATCCATGACTCAACTTCGTTCGTAATGAAGCAAGGAACAAGGCATATACGTCTTAAGAAATCATACAACCAGTTCTAATCTAATGTAGTTGCAACCAGTGTGGCTAAAAAATCAATTGTCGTCGGTATCAGGACCACCTAATTAGGTTAAGTAGAACTGAGAAATCATTCAACTAGTGGTACAACGAAAAGGCCTGTTCGAATAAGAGTATAATGAATGTTAAAGCCCCATTCAAGTTGTTAGGTGTCCACGTACGCCAAGCTAGGCCTATACACCCGAATTCATAAGCCTCGATACACACACAAACTCAACCATTGACACATCGGATGTCTCCAAATTGTGCCAACTTGTCAGGACAATATTCCGCCATCGAAGTGAGTACGAAAGGACGAGGGTGGGCGAAACTCCCTGGTCCCAACCCAATTCGAAATCACCGGATAATGAACCACCTTTGAAGTTGATAATGAAGAATATCACGTGAATAGCGAAAGGGGAAATTTGATTGCTGCTCAAGTAGATTGAAGGAAAGAAACCGGGTGATCGTATCAATCGACTTAATAGGCTGCAGTGTGGGTAATGATGGACTTGTGTAAACAGCTGGTAGATAAAAGGTGAGGGAAACGATTAGACAGATATCTGTGCGGATTGATGGGGAATAGAGCAGTGATAACTTGAGCTGATTGTGGTTGTTGTACCAGCCACTGAATGACGAATATTTTTTTCGGTCCAATGCACTATTAAATGGGGACGGAAGTCAATGGAAATCTCCGGAGAGCAGATAACTATGTAGGTCAGCTAATAATTCTTCAATCACTGTATCAGAAAATTTTTTTAACAACGATCCTAAACGAAAGACAGGGCTGAGTGCAGAATCCATAAAAAATTCTGTATGAGGATGAAGACTCTGTTCCACGTCCGCATGATGTGGATTAAGGAAGTTGGTCAAGGATGAAAAGGACAAGGTCATTTAAACCGAAAAGAAGCAGAGGAGAAATTTCCACAAGGATGAATAAATCAGGTCAGATGGTATTCCTCTGCAGTAGCTATACAAAGGAGACACTCAGGCATGATATACTGATTAGATCCAGACCACCCCCGATCAGAATTGTGTAACTCAAGTAGGCTCATTGAACCGAGAATGTAATAATAATAAGAAAAAATCTTTTAGCTTTAGCACCCTTTCGGTGCCTAGCTGCCATGCCACCCGAAGGTTGCACGAGGACTGGGATACTACCAGGTTGCCCAAGCCTAGACAGGGGACTTCGAGAGGCAGAGATCGGGTTCGAACCACGAACCTTCGGGTCAGTAAATCCGCGCTCTAACCACTTGGATCATCTCGCCCCAAACCTAGAGTGTACAGTATTACGGTAGGAGAGATAAGAACAAAAAACTCACTATCAACTTTTCCAATGAGTCAAATGATTTGTGTGTTGCACTGTGCCATATGTGAAAATCTAACTTCTCCAGAATGTTTTGTATTTTAATGTTAATGTATATTTTCGTGTCTATCTCGGCAGATTTAATTCCGGATGATGATATGGAAAAGTCCGGGGATATGGGACGGTATGAAACACCATCAACGGAAATAAAATGAAAGAAGAGGTCTCAGCACATTGGAAGAAAAAGTGCTGAACACAAGGCTGAGCTTAACGCGAAATCTCACTTTGAGAATCACATCACTCGTACGTTCACGTAACTTTATGCTCTCGAGAAGACAGTCCAAGACTGGTTTGTTCGAGGAAGATGGATCTCAATAGGACTGCAAAACACGTGCGCGTGGCGGACTATGAACATCCCTTGCTACTTTCATTATTCCACATAAGCCGGTTGAGTTGAAGTGCCAACAGCCTGAGGCTCAGTTGTCCAGTTGTGATCCTCACCTGACCCTATTACATTGCTGTGAAGACAGCGTCCTATGTTGCCTCCTGTCCTATGATACTAACATACGTACTGACATATTCATCGCCTATTCTTTCCTTGTCCTATGACCAGCTGTACAAACATTACTGTCAGTTTAAACACCAACAACTGGTGCTTCTGCGATGATTCGGACAAGTTTTACTTTCGACAGCCAATCATCAAATGCCGACTGTTCGCCCCTGATTTTTAACGTCATTGACTGACATTGACTCTCTCACAAAATGTGCGAAATTCATCTTGTCTTGCTCCAATGTGTCGAAGGTTTTGCTATCTGAAAAAATTTTGTTGTACATGTGCACAAAAAGAGTTCCAGGTTTCAAATCAAGAGCTTTTAACTGGAAATCAGTAATCCGAAACCATCCTGACTTTTGCATTAATCCTCTTTGGGATTAGGTAACATATCAATAGCTGAGACCCAATTTATCCTCAATGACTGGAAGAAATACTACATTGATCCAATCGTGACTACTGTGGTTTCATCAGTATGAGCGACCACTGTCGAGCACGGATCAAAGGCTGCCGTTATGTCACTGCCCCTACGTGAATGGACCCGTTGGAGGCGCGGCAGATGGCCCGCGAAAATTTGCAAACCAGCTTACAGAATAAACACTCACCGGAACCGATAGTTCGTCAGGGTTATCGAGTCGTCCACCAATGAGATGGAATGAAAAAGGCGACCGATGCTCAGTTTGAAACTGGTCTGTAATAGCAAATAAGGAGGAAAGTCGGTTAATCAGCAAAATGGCTCTATATGGACATCAATTAAAAGCAAATACACCTCAAACATTTATGCGACTTATATAACCTTGCGTAGGCCCATAAACACCCACATTGTGTGTACACACTGTAGCGGAAACAACCAAGATATAGAGAGAAAAGTAAGGCAGAGGAAAGCGAGAAACGAAAATAGGACGGATTTTCTCATTTGCACACCAGTTTTGCTTTAACAACTGAACACAGCTGAATTGCTCGTTTGAGGCCCTCTTTAAGTGAATGTGCTGCACAAGTCCGCCTCAGATTTCAACCGGTACGATGTTCAAGATACCGTAACACACTCTACGGACGTAATACATAAGATTGCTGGAAACTGTTCGACAGCCCACGACCAGTTTCGCCCTTCTTCGGGTTCATCAAGTAGGGGAAGAATACCATAAAGGGAGAGATTCAGTGAGCCTCCCAAGAAAACGGAATTGGTATGCAAATGAGGGTATTTGTCGAACTTCGTGCTATTTGGATTGACGGAATTTCGAGGACTGCGTTACTTGACCAGCCCGTCGTGGGCTTTCGAAGGGCTTTCAGCACCCTCATGAGTGGTATATCCTGCCAAAAGGACAGTTTTTTCGTTTTCGCTGTGTGCAAAATTCTAAGTGCCTTAGTAGCCAGGGGGTGAAACACGGATTTCACAATCCACTAGTAGCACATGAGAACGGAGGGTGGATGAATAGAAAAGAAGCATCCAGAAATTCCATGCAACTTAGGATCACATATGTCGATAGGCACCAAAACCACGCAGTTGACATCCAGATCCAGTCTAAAGATAGTACGATTCAACCTCCGGTTACTGTGAAACAACAGGTAGATGGAGCTCCATGTGCCATTCGTGTTATCTACTGTGAAACTAGTTATCCTGGTGACCAGGTCTCGGGAAACATTGACATGGCATGGCTGCTCCAAAGACTTTTTTTCAGTAACAAGTCTCACGGGTCAGTAATTTCATTTCAAAGTCAACAAAGGACATCTTGATACGGTACCATCATAGGGTATACACTATTTCTACAGATGGCCAGGTGGTCGAGCTAGGATCTACCACTTCCTTATCGTACATGTACTGCTTGTTCCTGGATGTATGTTTACACCCACAGCCAACCCCATCCCGGTGAGTCGGCATCCTATCCACGAGCGGAGGATGCTTCTAGAGGTACCCAGATCTGATCAACCCCAGGTGCTCATGTAACGTATGCTCAAGAGTGAGCTTCCTTGAAACGGAAGGTGCAGTAATCGCGAGATGAATGATTGGATCTAACTATAGTCGCGGCTAGTTGGGCCGGAAATGGGCAGGAATATTCAATCACAATCCCCCGTCACGATAAATAATAGCCCGTGAAAATATTTTTGAAAATCATTTTCAACCGATGAAGCTGCTGCTGCAGTCTGCTACAGAATTTACCTATTTCCAACATAGACTTCACGCCACTCTACGGACCTCAAGCTATCTACCAACCCACAAGATAACAAACCACAATCAACAAAAATTTTTGCATGTGCGATTTTACAACACACGCACGCCCACAAGAAAACGAGAAATAGATGTGTTGTTTTGTAACTGAACCAAAACCCGCTTTTCCGTTATCAATAGGGGTTGTGCTCGTCAAATCTTTTCTTGTGATCGTCCAGATAAACGTTGAACTGAGATTGACAGGTAATGGTAATGATCCATACTAGGCATGATTCTGATTAGGTGCTAATATGTGCTTGGGTGATTACATACAGAGTGTGGGTAGATGCTCATGTAATGGGGGAAAGGTTGTCGTCCGGGATCAGAAGTTTCGACAACTCTGTTGGGGACATACCGATCTTGTTTCTAGATATGCTTTCAGAACCAAACGCTTGTCATTCTGCAGACAAGTTGGAAAATCAATCATGTCCAAGTGTGGCTAGTGGTCTAAAGCGAGAAACTACTGACCGGCGACGCAACTGATACAGCTACATTCATCCAATGGATATCAGGACACTTTCCCCCAGACAAATACCGCCGGCTGTCCAACACGAATGGAATTGAAATGAGACGAATCATTACTAACAGAGTCGCCAATCCCAAAGTGAAATTCACACTACAAACCAGTCATCAATGTTCTGAATCAAAAGTCTCAAAACTGACGATGATCGAAGTTCCATACAGCTTCATGGAAAGAAAATGCTTCAGCTGATTCACATTTAATCATGGTTGATTAATTGGGTTCATATGGTACCATGATGAACTCATGGATTACGTGGGTGAAGGCTGTTGCTGCATTCTCTTGTAAACTGCAAGTGTTGTTTCCCTGGCTCTTCCGGGCAAGGATATGGAGGTAACACGAATAGCTGTTGAGAAGTCGCCCTGATCTGATCTATTTGTATCGTTCGTCAACAAAGAAGATGCACTACTTAATTCCACGCCCAGTTGGCCGAATAGAAAGGTCTTAATTAGATGGTTTCCTGTTCTTATATCCGTACAGGAGCAGATCCTCAAAAGTTTCAGCAGTGACTTCAAAAGGGACTTCACCATTGAAAGTACCCTCTCAATGGGTAGGCAAAACAAAGCATAAGTAACTATCCAGAACCTACAAAAGAAGGAACGTGTAACGCATTGCTTTTCATTTGGCCACTTCAGCCATACCGTGTTGTGAGGACACAATCACCGCTGACTCAAGATACAATGCATCAGTCGTAATGGTTTCGAATCACATCTAACTACATTAAGATTTATTGCCTTAAACTTGTCCCAGTGAAGGATTAATTACAGATGAATTTATGTTTCTGTGACAATGAAATAATCCGTTCTTCGACTAAGTTTCGGCGAACGTGTTTTTCTGGCTAAATTAATATAAGTTCGGAAAAAACATTGGTTATTAATTTAAGGACAGACATCGATATCTATCTATTACTGGTGTTCATATTTGGTTTGTGAAGACGTGCAGATACAGAAAGAATAACAGCGATAAACAAAAATCGATAAAAATCTAGGATGAAATGAACATGAACAGGAAGCTCGGCAGTAAGTTCGCGTTCTCCCAGTGAGTTTTTCAGTTCAGTTAACAATGGAAAACGAATAAAGATCTGAACGTCATTAATTTTTCCTGAACCTTCCACGACATCAGCTCAAGAAAAGGCTATCAAAAAAAGGCGACAATCCATTGTCACTTCGGTTCACTTTGCAGTCAACTAGATAAGTGCATCCTGCAAATTTCAGATGAATTTTTGTTAGGAAGAAACGGTTTAAACAAAAATACAAGACAACCGACGACAGTCAAGACTATCATCAAAACACATAAACTCGGTTCTTGAAAGATTTAGGGCTACAGGAAAACGGAAAAGTAGTGATTAGTTAGGAATTCCCGAGTGTCTTCATCTATGAGAAGAAAGAAGAGGAATACGGTGACCTTGTAGGAGGAATTTGGAGAAAAACCAGTGCTTGACTTTCGGCGGATATTTATCAATCTGCGCTTAGTACTAATAAGCGGCGCCTGTTCACTATCTAGAAGGTCGTCCATGTTCAACACCTCCACTCCAAGCATATCACAAACGGGAAATTCAGTCGGAACTCTGTTCAATCTCACGATTAGTATGCAAATTAGAGATTTATTGCCATGTCCCAGACAGACACAGTGGCTTGGTTGGGTTGTGCCACTAAGTGGAAGTTTCCCTAAAAAATGTTGATTGGGCAACAGGATGTGTAATTTTTCCTCATGGCAGGACGGGGGTAAATATCGACACAGCGGAAGTCAACAAATGGGTCAAATGATTGACAGATTTGGCCGTCTATGTACGGCTTCCCGCATGAAAAAAAATTGCGACAACAACCGTTTTGCTTTCACTGTGAGAAATTTAGTCGATTTCAAGAATATTTCAGTTGATTCACATTAGAAATCATGAGCAACGTCACAGGAGTTCCGCAGGAGTTGGAATATCAGTCGAGGGTTCAACACACGTCAATTTAGATGATATATTACGTACTAAGAGGACGGATTTTCAACAACACAATACGAGGAATTTCAAGAGAAATGTGGAATTAATATGAATATAGTGTAAAAGAGGAGACATATGGAACATGTTAAGGAAGAAGTCGGTCCACAAGATCAATTAAGGCAGCCTACTGGCGGGGTAGCAGAATAGGGGATAATATTGTTACTACAAATCGATGTCAACGTGCAACTGATGGAGAAATGACTTCGGGAAGATTATCATGTAGGGGATGAGTAAGCTAGAACAGACATGTTTCAAGTAACCTAGCACGTGTATCGAAACGCTTACAAAAGAGATGCCCGTGGCGAGACCGTAACATCCGGCAAAGCCTTAAGGGCTGTAGCGAATAGTGCGAGAAAAAAATGGGATAACAACCAGAGGGAGCATACAGACGGTTACACCTTCCACATATACGACCGCGTTAGACTGAGAGTTGCCTCAGGCTTACAGAGTAAAAGGAAAGCCTGCTAAACTAAGGGAACAGCATGAGTTGAACTATGAGCTATGGTACCGCTCGCTCCAATTCCACTTCCACGGTTGCCGATGCTCTTTCACCCTTTCAATTTTACCAATCAATCCAAACAAGAGTCTCGAATTTTTCCACCTAATTCAATGACATTCCCTTTTTCTCCGAAAAATCACCTTTCAAGCAAGATTCGAAAACGAAACCAGGATGGATTTTCACTCCAAAGCGTTCAGTCTGTTTTCTCCACCATCCCATCAACGACTAGAAGCCAAAACACCACAATCTTTAATAGATTTTACATATAGACGCAGCTTCCCGAAGCTGGGTCACATATGAATGAAACCTGTTCACCAAAGGGTAGGAGATGGCGCCAACAGCCCACAAAGACATAGTGTACATCTCCTCAAGTGTCGACTTCCCAGGTTGTCGATATCAATCTAAACCACTAGAATGATGGGTTTACTGCCTAGGCTCACACGCTCCGTAAACTGAAGAATTTCAGGAAGGATACG